ACCTGATGGGCTAATCTTGCATCTGCCCACAGTCCCTGGGTGTTACAAGGTGGCTTGGCCCAGGGACCACTTAGGGTAAGTGCTGGGCCCATAGAGCCCATGTGATGGGTTTAGGGGGTGCACTGTCTATAGCAGTGTATTCTGCCAGTTCTTGTAACAAAGGCTGGGCTGAACCCATGTGGTTGATGTGTAGATCAATGTTTGGGTCCCACGCCATACAAGGAAGCCCAACTGGGCAGCAGTTTGGAAGGCTGAGTGAGCACATAACCTTATTGGGCCTAAAGCCCATTTCGAACTGGGCTGATTTGATCAATTAAATGAGGGGCGAATTCTGAGATTAGATTAGCAGATAGGATTGAGCTTAACCCTAGGAGGGGGTTGATTTAATCTGCAGATAAGATAAGGGTTTACCCTTATCTCTTAAAGGGAATTCTGATCCAAATATGATTTGAATCAGCAACTCCTAATGGGATTAGGAGCTGATCCCTTTAAGATTATAAAAGGAGGAGGGGGCGGTAGCCTTTAGAAGAGATTCATGTTCACATCCTCTCCAGAGCTGAAATCACGGAAGAGAGAATTCAGCATCACTGCATTAAAATCTCTCTTGCCGCCTCCTTCTTGTCGCGGCCATATCTGCCAGTTCGATCTCCTCTTATCAGTAGGAGTGATCAAGATTGGATCTTGATATCAGTCTTTTGTGAAATGGCTGATTAGAAGAAGTGCTCACGTGCCATCCAGTTGATACTTGCGAAGGATCTGGTTCTTTTGAAGAACGCTGCTGATTCTGCTCCATCCTGCACTGCGCCATTTTCAGTGGGAGCAGTTTTTGGTTCATTCCTTGGGCATGAACACCTCCATTGGGAGATACTTTTTTTTCGTATCAGGTATATCCCTTTCCTACTGCTTTTGTTCATATCTGCTTCAGTTTATAGTTCAAGATAGGTCCTTGAAAAATGCAATTTTTCTAAAATAGGGAATACGATTCCCAGTAGGATGGAGAGAAATTTTTGAAATTCGCCCATTCTATTCTGCAAGATTCGGGCGTCCATACGATKGATATCTCATCCCTTCAAGACAATGGTAGAACAACCACAACCTCAACCTCCATTATATTGACCATCTGATCCACCACGTCCATGACCATGAACACGATTGTTAAAATAAGAACCATTCCAAGGTTGTTGTTGAGAGGACTGAGTTTTGCCTTTGAAAGAACTGGGATTGGCTGATGGCAAATTTTCCATGGAGTGAGGATGATGTTTCTCTAACCATGCTTCATGGCTAAGAAGGATACCCAAGATATCATCAATGCCAAAATGGTATTTATCAGATCAGTTGGTGAAAACAATGACCATTGATTCATACTCCGAACCTAGACTAACTAAGACAAATAACACGAGATTTGTAGAATTAATGGGATTAACAACAATAGATAAGTTATTAGAGAGACACTTAGCTTTACTAATATATTTAGAGATAGAAAGATTTCCTTTCTTTAAGACCTGTAACTGTCTGCACATCTAAAGAATCCGTGGTTGAGAATAAGTAGAAAAAGATTTCACAAGAGCAGTTCATACCTCATGAGTTGATCAAAGGCCTACAACTTGAGAAAATATCCCTTTGGTGAGAGTAGAAATAATCTATCTAAGGACTAGTTGGTCCTGTTGAAACCATTCAACATAACTAGGGTTCATCACCTTGTTGTTGGGATCACTAGGATCAACGACTTCTTTGGGAGGAGCCTTGGTGGTACCATCAACAATTCCCATGACCTTGTGAGTGTAAAAGCTAGGAGTAGTTGCGCCTTCCAAAGTAAGTAATTATCTCTACTCAGTTTGATGGGGAGAGATAGTGAGAGGAGGAAGAGATCAAAGAAGAAATCACACCACCGGTTGAGGACATGTTGGATTGGGAACTCTGAGAGTTTTGGATTGAAGTAGACATTGAATCACCATTGGAGGCCATGGCGTTAGGCCCTGATACCAATTATTCGATAAGTTAGGTGATCGGACCCTTATGTCTTTATAGTGATCAA